CCACGTCTACTGCAGCAGTCTGTCTGTCTGTCCCCTGTCCTTCTGTAACCCAGGCTCTCTCCCTCAGGCCTCCTGCCCTGTGGACGTGGCCGACGGCAGAGGCCAAACAGCGCTGCACCATGCAGGTGAGTGGGGACAGTGCCAACCCCATCCTGCTCCTGTCCCCACCGGAGGCAGAGTGCTCAGCCTCTGTCCTTCTCCCCAGCGGTCAGCGGCTGCATCTCGTGCTCGGAGATCCTCTGTGATTTCAAGGCTCCCTTAAACATCAAGGACAAGGTGAGATCCCTCTGCTCTTCACCCTGCCACGCTGTGCAGAGCAGCAAGGGGCCAGGCTGGGGCTGCCTCTGAAATGCAGCAGCTTCTGGGGTGGAACGCAGCAGCTGGCAGCACCTGAGGTCCCTGGGGTGAAAACATACCATGAAGTGTCGTGGAAATCTGGGAGATAACGGGAGTGGGGTGCCCCATGGGGAGATCTGAGCCTCGTCTGCGCAGCCTCACCCAACTTGACCCTGCCCAGGATGGCTCCACACCGCTGATCCTTGCTGCCAAGATGAGCCACTCAGAGCTGTGCCGGTACCTGCTGCACCGCGGCGCGGCTGTCAACAGCCGGGACCTGCAGGGGAGGTGAGTCTGTACTGGTGGGGACCGGGGGCGGACAGGTAGATGGAGGGAATGCCCCCCCTCACCCCTCCTCTCACCATGCTGCTCAGGACAGCCTTGATGCTGGCCTGCGAGAACGGCAGCGTGGAGACGGTGGAGGTGCTCGTCAATGCCGGTGCCCGGGTGGCCGTGGTGGACTCCACAGGTCATGATGCCGCGCACTACAGCCTGGCCACGGGCAACGCTCTCATCCAGCACTTTCTCCAAGAGGCTGCTCAGCGCCGGTCCTGGGCCAGCGGTAAGGCAGCCGTGCTACCCTGGTGCCCCTTGTCCGCAGGGCCTGGACCCATGGGGGTGCTTTCACCCTGCAGGGTGCTTTGGGGCAGGGCTGTCTAACCCATGGCTGGAAGAGGCTGAGGGGCATGTGCCCCCTTGTCCCACGTGCTGGGGGTGCCTTCGCCCATGCTGTCACCAGCTGAGGGCTGGGAGGTGGTGCTGAGCCTAAGTTGCCTGTCTCAGCGCCTGAACATGCCTGCACACACATGTTCACACGTATTTGCAAGCATGGGGGTGTAAGTGCACATGTGTATCAGCGAGTGCGCTTGTACATGTGTCTGCGTGTCTGTGTGCACGTGTCTCCCCGTGTCTGCACACCTGTGTGCATCCCTGCAGTTTCGCATCCACGTATATCCCCACATTTGTCTGTCTGCGCGTGTGCCCCTTGTACGCACACATGTCCCTCTGTGCACGCATGTGTGTGTACCCCCTGAGTGCCCACCCCTGTAACGAGCACGTTCGGGGGTGCCCCTGCACCCCTGTGGGCTCTGCCTGCTGTGCCCTCCCTTACGAACCCCTAAACCTCCCCAATTTCTCTTTTTCTCCCACTCTGCCCCGCAGAAGAGGAGTCAACTGAGCAGACGTCCCAGGTAAGGGCCTGCCTGGCTGGCGCCTCTTATCAGGGCTGGCCCCAGCCCCAGGGTGGGGGTCCCCAGGAGCCCTGGGGCTCTCCGAGGTGGCAATGGGTTAGGAAGGAGAGAAGCCACTTCAGATGCGATGTCCCCTCTGCTCTGGTGTCTCCACAGACGTCGTCGCCCAGCCAGTCATCTGTCAGAGAGAAGAACAGCACCCCGAGGAAGAGGAAGGCCCCTCTGCCTCCCCTGGGCACCCCCAGCCAGGTGAGAGGGGGTCCCCCTTAGCTCCATGTCCGCAACCGGCTTGGCAGGCGCAGCGTAGCAAAATGGGCAGCGCCGGCGTGGCCGAACCACGGCTGGCTCAGGCAAACTTCTCCAGCTTTGCCCGCTCCGGGAGCTGTGCGGGTGCCCTCCTTCCCACGGTGGAGGTGATGCTGAGGGGCTGGCCTGAGCTGCAACAGAAGCTTCATCCCCACTCCCGGGGTGCATGCAGCACCCCCGGCCCTGAGCCCCTGCTGTTGGCAGGGCAGGAGCTATCAGCCCCTTTCTCTTCACCCCATGGGCCCAAAACACCCTTTGCTGGGGGGCTGTACTGGTGTTGGGGGGTCCATGCCCTGCCAGAGCCTTTCCTTCTCTCTCTTGTGTCAAAAAACACGCTGCACACCCTGGAGTGTGGCTCACCCATGGGGGCATGTGGTGGCCGAGAGCCACCATGGTACCTGGCTGGGCTCAGCCTGCCAGAGCCCCCCTGCTGAGGGTGGGCAGGAGGGGGCCGATGGCGGGGAGGGGGCTGGCAGTGCCCGGTGCTGAGGCTTGGCGGCCGCTCATCTGCAGGAGGACCGGGATGCCTACGAGGAGATTGTACGGCTGCGGCAGGAGCGGGCCCAGTTCTTGCAGAAGATCCGGGGCTTGGAGCAGCAGGAGAAGCAGAGACGAGAGGTACCAGCGAGCTGCAGGGTCATGGGGGAGATGCCACCGTGTCCCTAGGGAGCGCAGGGGAACGGAGGGATGGAGACAGCATTTATCGCTCCCTGTTTTCTCTGTGTCCCGCTAGCAGGCGGAGCTGGATGAGGGCTCCCGGCGCTCCATGGAGAAGCAGGTGAGGCCGGTGAAGAGGTCATGGGTGGCCTCGGCTCTCTGAGGGGTCCTGGTGCTGGGGATGCCATTGGGCCTCTGGTGGGAGTGAAGGGGACCCTGTGCCTGTGTCCTGCCCCACAGATCCAGGAGCTGGAGGAGCGGCTGGCGGCACGGGATGGTGAGAAGGAGCGGCTGGGCAAGGAGGTGGAGGCTCTGTGGAGCCGCGACGCTGCAGGACGAGGAGGGAGACCCGCTTGAGTTCCCAGGTAGGGCCCTGCTCGCCTCCCAAGACCCTTGTGGAGTGGGGAGGTGGCCCCCCGCGGCAGGGAGCGGGGGCAGGGGGGGACATGGACCGGCGTCCCTGCACCCCGCAGGGGCAGAGCTGCTGCTCTCCAAGAAGACGCTGAGCCCCTCGGCCGAGGAGCTGCTGGCCACGCTGCAGGGGCAGTTGCAGTCCCTCACCGTGCAGAACAAGGAACTGAGGGAGAAAATACAGGCAAGTCCCCGTCTGTCTGTCTGTCCTTCCCTGCCTCCGTCCCCTGGCCCCTGGTGGCCTCACCCTCTCCTCGGCAGGTGCTGGAGAACTACGAGCGGGACGAGAGCAACCCGTCCACCCCGGGGGACTTTGTGC